CCCGGATCACAGAACATTTCTGGCCCCCAAGTGTCAGCCCATTCACGAAAAAACTTGACCGGTCTTTGCCAACAAGAACTCCAACCTCGGCCGGCTGAAAGGGGAACCAATGACCTTATAAAGGGAGTCAGTATACCAAGGTTCCCACCCCGTTCACCAAGGACCCACCTTCCTGCCACTTCTCGGGGAGCCAGAACTCCAGGCCGCCCAAAGTAAAGAGAGATTGGCTTTGTCAAAGTCCATGAAATGTGTGAAACTCTTAAGACTGACATCAATGCACAAAGATCACGATCCTTCAGCCTTAGCGAGTAGTAATAGAGGGATGCCCTATCCCGCTGAAAACGCAATTTCTATTTTTAATGAGGCAACTCCAGGAATCAACGAGGGCCTAAAACCAGAGAGGAGATTGGGGTGGAGGCGAGTGGGCAGCCTTTGGATGCTCACAACTCTCCTTCAGGAAAAGCAGAAGCAGAGGGGGGAAGGGAGGGGGCGGGTGAGGCAGGAGAAGCAACTTTGCCCTTATTTGGTCAAAGGTTCTGCTGGAGTGTAAGGGGCCCGGACGCCTGGGTCTCCAAGTAACCTGGAGTTGAGGTCCAGGTGTCTATGGCCCGAGGTGAGCAAGACCACCCCTGGCCCCACTCTGATCAAGTAAGAAAACTTTGGAGAAGGGGGCCTGGTGCTAAACTCGATCAGTAAGCTCTCCCTTCTAGCTACCTCAGGGAACCTTTCTCCCCGCTCCCCCTTTTACCCCAAACCCCACATCCGGTTCCCTCCCGCCCGGAAATCCCCTTCTTCCCCCCCCCTCGAACTTCCGCTCCCCCTCCCCACTTCCGGGCAGTGTGGGCAGGGGAGGTAGTGATGGGGACACCGAGCCGTCCCTTATCCTATAACTTGTACTGTATTAGAACTTCTCACAAAGTTGCCCGCTCTAGGGCCCGCTGGGTGGCGGGAAAGGAGGGTGAGGGGACTTCCGGGACCGACCCCACAGGAATGTTGGGCCCAACGTGCCGAATTAGGGGGCGTGTGGCCGCCTCGCCCTCTCTAACGGAGCTGGGAGGGGCAGGGAGCCCGCGGAAGGCGGGCTGGGGACCCATACCTAGCGCCTGGGGATCCCTCCGGCCGTAAAGCCGAACAATGGTGAAGGGGACGCGTGCTGGAAGCCGGAAGTGCAGCAGGGGGCTCAGGGGGCTCTCAGCCCCTTCTGAAATCACCATTTCTGCCTAAAATTGCAGCGCGTGCCCGCCCCGCCCTGAACGAGGCGGAAGTGAGCCGCCGCACCGGGAGGCGCGCCCCTCCCCACCCTGTGCCCCGGATGTAACGCCCCGTCGCGGAAAGCAGGGCGGCCGGCGGGATGGGTGCCGCCGCCTAGGGTGTAGGACTTAAAAGAGGCGACGGCGGGTCCCATTCACGTGCAGCGGCCATTCGTGCCAATTCCGGGGCAAGGGTCGGCTCGGTCTTTCGCTGCCCTCCCCAGACCGCGCCCGCCCCCACCCAAGTCCCTCCTTCAGGGTCCAAGCCCAGCCGGGTCCCCGGACCGCGCAGGTTCACAGACCGTGATGTTGACGAAGGTTTTCCCGGGGACAGCGGCCCAGACAGAGGGCGAGTCCTTATAGCCCACGATGGCCGCGTCCTGACAGGTCCCGTCCGCCATGAGGTTGTCGATGTAGGCGTTCCACCCGGCCATGGCGTTGCTACTGGGGCAGCTTCTCGGTGCTTCTGCTGGGGCCGCGGGCTGAGCTTGGGCTGCCTCGGGCTGGCGGGCGGGCGGGCGGGCGGGGGGAAGGCGGAGAGCTCGGGGCACGCGCTGCTGTCCGGACCGCGGCTCTGCTAGCTGTGCAGCAGCAGCCCTCGCACTTCCTGCTCCTCCCCCAGCTCCCCTTAGAATTTTATTTGCAATGAGGAGTAGGGGCGGGGCCTGTTCCTATTCCCTCCGCCCCCCCCCTCCTCGCCCGCCGGCCGAGACCGAAGTTTGCAAATGGCAATTGAAAAAAATCCCTCCCCCTATTGCAAAATTTGCCGAGTCCGATGGAAAGCTATATAAGAAGGGAGGAGGGGGAGTCGGGGGGAGGCTCACAAGGGCGAGATTAGGGTTAGGGTTCCCCTTCCCATTGAATGTAAACCAGGCTTTAGTAAAAATTATACTAAAGGCGGAAGGGAGTGAGCCAGAGGAAGGAAAAGAACAGAAAGGTGGGAGAAATAGCAAGCTGCAAACCAAGCAAATGAAAAAGAAAGAGTTTGGGGAACCCAGGGTTAAACGGAACGATTCTCCCTTCCCCCCACCTCCGCCAGAGGGCAGGGACGGCGGGCGGCGGCGCCTGCGCCTGCGCCTGCGCGCGGCCGGAGGGAAGGCGCGTGGGACGGTTGGGGCTGGCGGCCGTCTGCGCGGGCGCGCGCCCGGGCGCGACTGGCCGGAGCGATCTGAACCCTCCTGCGAGGGGGGCGGGCCGGGGACGTGTCTCCCGCCTGAAGGCAGAGGCAGGGGCGCGGGCGGGGGCGCTGTCACCTCCACGCTTTTGATTCTATTTCTCTATTGAAGAAATAAGCGGCGAAGGGGAGTTTTGTGAACTGTCCCGGCCGTTTCCAGAGGCGAAGTCACACGTGGGAGACTTCTGTTCCCAGTACCTGTGCACGCACCCCAAGTTGGGCGCCCTTGAACCCCCCCCCCCTTCCAGAGGCTCTTCCCTTGGCGGGATCAGCTCCAGCTCGGAGCCTCGCCCCACACCCGAGCCCCGCCTGTGGGTCAGTGGCCGTGCCCCTTGGCCCGTGTCTGCAGAGGTCACTGAACGCGGGCGCCTGCAGGGCGAGACCGGCGGAACTATTTCCTTAGGCGGAAGAATACGAATAAGCGGCACAACCGAATGAAACTTTCTCAAAAAGGTGCACGAGTGGAACTTTTTCAACACGGAGGGAAAGTCCCTCTTGCTTGGGACCGTTTGCGTTGGGCTTTGACGTTTTTCCTTCAATAAAAACTTGGCGCGACTACTTCGCTTGCCGCCAACCGGGGAGGGCGTGGAGGCCAACCTCTGGTGACCCGCTGAGGTGAACCGGCCCCCGACCTGCCAGCGTCGCCGCTGAGGGCCTTGGCTGCTTCCGGTCCCTCGGCGGGCGGGACGCCCGGGTCTGGCCGAGCCTCCAGTGCGGGAAGGGGCTTCCTTCCTATCTCATCCTCTCTCGCGCCCAGCACCCCGACTCCCCTGGTTCCCGGCGCCCCCCGAGCCCGCGTTCCTCGACAGCCGCCGTGGCGGAGTCCCCAGCAGCCAGCTCGGGCGGAGTCGATCTCGGGCACGTGGCGGTGCTCCCCGCCCGCCGCCCTCTTGGACTGCCGCACCCC